ATAAAATTTTGAGAAAATAGCAATTGTTTTTAAGAAAAATTTGGTACAAGTGATTGTCAGGAAGAGTTAGTGATTTGTGTTAATTTAGAAAACTTCCCAAACTCATCTGCAATAATTACTAGTAGTTTTGCTATACCTGTTACTAACATTAGTAATTCTGCTATACCTATTACCAATACTAGTAATTCTGCTACACCTGTTACTAATACTAGTAATTCTGCTGCACCTGTTACCAATACTAGTAATCCTATTACTCATACTACCTCTAATAATCCTGCTATTAATATTACCACTACCTCTAGTAATCCTGCTACTTATATTGCCTCCAACTCTAGCAATTCTGCTAGTAATTCCTCTACACCTACTAACTTTAATAATCCTACTAGATCTACTACTTATAGTAGTTCTGCTACATCTACATCTAGTAGTCCTGTTACATCTACATCTAGTAATTCTGCATTTGTTAATGCTGCTACTATAAAACAAGAAATTAATTTTCATAGAATTCTTGCTGAATTAATTACTCCTAATAATGAAAATGAAATGTCTATAGATAGTAGCAGTGAAGAAGAAAGTAATGAAAATAAAATATTAAGTTTATCTATTCTTTACAATAAAGCAGAATGTTCAGAAATGCAAGCAATATTAGCAAATCAAGCTGAAATATGGTTCTAGTATCAATATGTTGAAGAATTTGATAAGCGAGTTAATGAAATATTAGAAAATAGAAGAATTTCTATAAATAAAGCTAAATCTACAGCCTACAATGAAATTTTGGCAAAGAATTCTCATCTTACTAAAGATAGTTTGAAATGAAAACACAAAAGGCTAGAATTATATATAGTTTGTTTAAAGTTATTGGTTTAGATAAAATTAAATGAATTAGATCATATAGTTTTAATACAGTCTCAAGCCTTACTGAAACTCAAATTAATATAATTATTCAAAGGGTACAATTAGAAGAACAATAAAGGTATATATATATATTATGCATTATTTTTAAATTTTGTCAATAATTAATTAATATTTCATTTTTCAATTTTCACTGCTTAAAAAATGACTTGAGTTATACTATTCTGTAACAGATAGATAATTGAATATTCATTGTTTATATATTATTCTATTTTTTTTATTTGTATATATTGATACATATAAGGGTGTGTCGACTTAGTGAAGTGGTCAAGTTGTCACCCCCAAGCGGCAGGTCTAGAGTTCAATTCCTACTGAAAGATGATTGTTGAATTATCAAAAATCTGTAAATCCTGTAGAATGGAGATGTCAACTTAATTGAACATGCTGGGCATAAACCTACGCTGTAATCTTCAGTCACACCAATGACGATTGGAAGTACCCGACTCCGGTTAGATACGCATAAATGAGCTGAGGGGCACCAATTAGGAAGAACCCCTTGCAAATCCCGAGTATGGCGCATATCCGGTTGATGGCGAGATGGATGGATATAATAAGATCATATAAGGGTCTATACTCATATATATAGAGTAGGACTATATAATGACACTCATTACTAAATACAAAATATGAACAATAAGTTACAAACAATCACT